TTTGAGTGTGTAGCAGAAGCTTTGGGACATACTACTTCGTCATAATTGCATATTTAACAGACCACTCTGTTGCATAGTTACGTGCATCCTGTCACTGTTTAAACTGCCCTGTCAATCATCTTGTCACAATTAACATCCTCCACATTTCATTTCATTTCATTTTCCACCATATTGGAGAGAAATGAAGTAGCACGTTGATCTGCCAGTCGTGGGTCTTTCATGCGGAGAATTCTCCTCGTGTGTTTGCATAATGATGCATTGAAATGTTCACAACCAAGCGTATCTTTATAAAAGTTCGCAATGTTGTTGCAGACGGATAACATGGATAACATAAAATAAATATTTTTCACGTTAGATATTGATTATTAATCACTCAAACCGTTTTATCTAAATCTCTCTACTTAAAAGTGATAGTTCATCCAAAAATGAAAAATCTGTCATCATTTACTCAGCCTCATGTTGTTCCAAACCTGTATGAGTTTATTTTTCTGCTGAACACAAAAGAAGATATTTGTAAGATAGGCTGGTAACCAAAAAGTTGCTGGTAGCCATTGACTTCCATATATGGAGGAAAGAAAGAAAGAAAGAAAGAAAGAAAGAAAGAAAGAAAAAGAGGAGAAACAAAATAACTTCGAATGATATGAGAGGCAGTAAATGATGACATTATTTTAATTTTTGGGTGAACTATCCCTTTACATCTCAGTTAGATTGACTGATTGACTGTTATTGATATCACAGTCGTGCATTATCACCATACTGCGCAGCTGAATAAATCGTTTGACCCTCTAAATAGCTGTGAATTACGATTAAATGTCAGTAAATGGTTGTCTGATGGTGTATTCTTAGCCTGTGAGATAAACAGGATCAGGAGCGTGAGGTAATATCTAAAACACCATAACATTTCATTACATGTATTTTCATGACCATGTCTCTTATCTAACAACTAACAGGTAGCAATAGCATAGGTTTGTTTATAGAATCTGCTTTAGTATTCCCTTGGGCAATATTGGTTATTTCTCAGATTGAGACAGTGGTTGATATCATTGATATCCATGCTACCAAAAATATCAGCTTGCTATTTTTATGACATCCAGATGCAGTTTGCATTACATGCCACATTGATTGCAGCCATACATTTTGTGCTTACTCAGGTATCCGCAATCTGTGCGCAGTGGCTATTCTGGGAATTCTATTTCTGCAAATATGTTAAATATATACTAGGAATCCAGCCTCATTCATGGTTAATGAAGCTGCAAACAGAAACATTTCCATGAATCAGACTGCTCAAATGACAGATAACAGACAATGGAGACAACAGAGATATGGCTCCACCTGGGATCACTTAGCAACCAAAAGCATGACATCATCACTTCATGTAAAGAATCAGATACTATGATGTCATCAGGAAATGCATGACCTTGGAGAAAAGAAGTGTGTATGATGTCATTGGGTGTTATAAATAGAATGTATATGATACAGGTTTGTTGTTGTTATTTGTTAGTGCAAATATATAATAGAATATAATATAACATGTTTTGACTAATAAAAATTAATTTGCCTAGGGTGCCTGTTGTAAAAATGAAGTCGTCTTGTAGCGCCTGGCTAAAACCGGTTCACTTTGTTTATGCTGCCATCTGCTGGGTAATGATAATTACACAGGGGGAAAAAAATTGGTGCCATTTATTTTTATTGTATTTGTTTCTGAGTTTTTCTGAATTCTGAGTGAAAATTGTTTCACACTTTTTTCATTGTTGGATATATATATATATATATTATATAAAATTTTTTTATTTTATTTTTTTTTTTTTACCGTGTAGACACCCTTCAAGAAAAAAGAAGTGTTGAGTGTAATTGTTTTTAACATTTAAATTGACATATTGAAAATTGATATATTTTTTTCAAAAGCACAAAACACATGTAGTCTTTTAAAGTATCATCAAATCTATTATTTCAATAAAAATGTTGCCATTTAGAACTAAAAGTGAACTCAGTTTCATACAATGCAAGTAAAAATAAATAACTTAAGAACAATGCCTGCTGGAAGGTGTGTCGTATAACATCATTCTGACATCATGGATGACATCACAGCCACTATTTTCCTTTGAGCCTTTTTTTTATGTTCTGGTACTGTAACAGAAACTTGTTTCATAAGTGAATATATTGTTTCTTGAAACACACATGGCATTTACAACTCGGGTGATTTGACAACACAATTGTGTCTGGAACTGAGTGTCTATAAGGCAGGGGTGTCCAAACTCGGTCCTGGAGAGCTATTGTCCTGCAGAGTATAGCTCCAACTTGCCTCAACACACCTGCCAGTATGCCTAGTAAGACCATGATTAGCTGGTTCAGGTGTGTTTAATTGGAGTTGGAGCTAAACTCTGTAGGACAGTGTCCCTCCAGGACAGAGTTTGGACACCCCTGCCTTAAGCAGACATGTGCCAGCTGAGCAACTGCCCTTGAATGCTTTCTCCAGTTATTATAGGCCTCCTTGGCACTTTAAAAAATGTCTCATTCAAGGAAAGACCTTGAGCAAATGTCAAGATCAACTAATTGCAGCATTAGACAACATGCTCCAGGCTTTATTACTGCTCATATCACGGCAGCACATGGCTGGACAAACAGTGAGCACCCCTCAGTCCTCCGTATTACCCGTTCTTTCCCCGTGTAATGAGCCTTAGCCTGATTATCTGATGGAACAAGTCTGTGCTATTGAATATGCCACACTAAGACACTTAGACTGCTCCCTGCAGGAAAATAGTGACTCAGAGCGACAAAGTTAAACATTCTCCAGCCTCTGTCACTTCTAAAGGCTGCAAACAGTGGCTGAATCGTGAGCTGAAAAATTGCTGTGTTGCGGAAAAGCATGTTAAGCACACATGCTTTTTTGATAAAGGCTTGAGAGTTTATGGGGTGTAAATATATGTAGTATGTATGAATATATGTAGTAGACAACTGAGAATTTACTGATTTCAGATCACTTTCAGGTCCATCATGACTTCATGACATGACATTCAACTGAATGAGCTTTTGAGGACAGAACTGCTTGCTCTGCAGTTTCATAATTATAATAAAAGTTCATAATTTTTAGATAAATGTTATCGATCAAGAGTAGATAGGAAAAGTAATATTCATTTTATATCATTGCAAAATACAAAGTATGTGATAATACAGACTTGACACATTTTTATGAATTTATGTGACTGTACATGTAATATATATATATATATATATATATATATATATATACATGATTTAAAATGGAACACATTAAATATTTTAAATGGAAGACATTTATAATAAATGCTGAATTACTATACCGAAGCTTCATTGCAGATTTTCTGTTTGGTGCATTTCATCTGCAGTGCCACAGCTACAGGGTTTGAGTTTGTAATATTATTGGCACAGATGGTCTATAAATCACATGGTAGGCTAATGAATACATGATGTTGAAATGGTTAGTTTTCAGAGTACTAGCCAACGTGAATATAAAAAAACAACAACCTGCCATTACAGATTCGTTTACAGTTGCAATACCATGCAACTTTGTATGTGGTTTAATTTAAGGTCCATGTCTTCGTGTATTGGTGCTGCAGAAATTGTTGCATATGGCTATAGGATGGAAATTCAAATTCACCCAGCTATTTCAACCCAAAGATTGTCACTTATTAGACTGGTTAATGTTGAGTACAACCGATCTCATCTACAAACTAAATGGAAGTTATTGTTGATCCATTTGTCACCTTATGAGGGCGCCAGAGAGGTTTAATACCCCCCTTTTTAAAATGAATCCCTAATACGAGACAACTGTCTGATTAAAAGAAACTAATGAATATTAAGTGGGAATAATGTTATTGTGCTGTCAGTTATTTATATATTTATTACAGTGGTCATGAGACACTTGGGATCTTACTGTGTGCTATATGCAAGGTGAAGTATTACTTAGGCTAAATAGAATACAAACATGCAGAATGTCTCAAGCCACTCCTTGCTACCTCTTTTCCATTTATTTGATTTTTGAAGCAAGCAGCAGGACTAAAAGCTCTAGTGGAGAAAGAACAGTCTAGAAAGAATTGTAACTTTATCTGACTGCATCCAAATAACTGCATCTAGAAGTAGCTTTTAATGCACAAATATAGAGACAAATAATGTCAGTAACAAAGACACAATGGATTATTAAAATAATTTTATTTTGTACATATTTAACATAAAAACTAATACAATATAAAATATGTATGAAACCATGCCAGCCACCAAATACACCCAAAATAAAATCCCTGCCATTTCAGCTGGATGTTGTCCAGGAGTCGAGACTTAATATGGCACTGACCTGTTAGAGATCTTCCGTAACGCTCCTACAGCCATGCCAGAGATTCCATTAGGAATTACATCAATAATAGAAACTGATTTTAAAGTATGCACAGTGTAATCCATCAGTCATTTTAACCTCCAAACATCACCCTACTATTACAGTAAAAGCATTTATAAGGCTACACTGACAGCACAGGAACATTCTCTACAGTGACTGCAGCAGTGTTGATAAAGATTCTGTAAAGACTTACTTCATGGAGTCACAACAATCAAGTAAACAGAAATGCTATCTACTTACATTACTGAGGCATTTCCAAGCATTCATGCAACTTTCACTCTTAATGGAGTGCCACCCAGCCACGACCAGGACTATGTTCCTGGAAGCACCATGAGCCTTACTATGAAAAGCTTAAATAACACCACACATGCCCTATATCAAAAGTTAGCAAGAGCCTCTGGTAGCGACTAAGGGGTTAAATTTCAGGATCCTGGATTACTGACCCTTTCCTATAGCAGTGAGAAAGCAGACGGCAGCCAGCTTATCAGACCCCATCAGCTTGGACCCTTTGAAAGAACAAATATCTCAGCCACCTGCAACAAGGATCTGTTTGCACAAGCCTGATCAAGGTGGATGAGAAGGGATCTAAAAATGTAGAGCCTCGGATTCAAAGAGCTCAATGTCAAAGTCAAACTGTGTTTGAGGTCATCGGCCAAAACCTTTAAGCAACAGACAGAGAGTGACATGATTGAACAAACCCCATACCCTTATTATTCATGCTTCAATCTCTGAGGTGATTCTAGAAATATAGTTGATCATAATTGGTGGTCTAGGCAGTTCAGGTCACCAATAAACAACCAGGCTACTTAAAAGAGGCCAGAACTGTCCTGCCTTTCAGTGGCTGTGGTGGTCGGTAGTTGTTCTCCATACGCTTTCGGTCCTCTTCTTCCTCTCCATTAAACATCAGCATCCGGAACTTTCCCATCTAAGTCCAAAAAGCATGAAAAACAGCATGTAAGACAGAACCTGGCAAAGTGACAAGCTGCACTGCAGAAGAAATCAACTTTGGTACCAAGTCTTATGTAATAGGTGAATCTCCTGAGCTTTTTCTACTTATAGCTCGTCAATCATTTTAATAAGCTGTACAAGATCAAAGTCTTGTGGCCTCATGCCAGACACACTAGGCCACTGTCACAACCATGCCGCCAACATGCCAAACTGCTCATGCTTACTTTAATTCAATTTCCTAGTACAAAGTCTGAGGGACTAGACAAGAGGCAGAGGCCAAATCCACAGCAGTTTTTCAGATGGACATAGACTTATGTATCTGAAATGCAAATCTAGTAATATAACACTTCAAAGCAAAGGATATACCATTCAAAAGTTTGGCGTCAGTAAGAATTTTTAAAACTTAAAAAAAAAAAGGCTCTTATGCTCACCAAAGCTGCATTTATCAAAAATACAGTAAAAACTGTTTGTGAAAAAAAGTTAAATAATATTAAAATTAAATAAATATTTTTAAATAAACATTTTTATTATTATTTAATTTATTTTTAAAATGTAGTTTACTCCTGTGATGGCAAAGCTGATTTTTCAGTAGCCATTACTTCTGTCTTCAGTGTCACATCATGTTTGTGGTGCTTAATATTTTTGTGGAAACTGTGATATATATTTGATATGATAATTGGAAAGTTTAAAACGAAAGCATTTATTTGAAAAAAATTTTTTTGTTACATTATAAATGTCTTTGCTGTCACCTGTCAGTTTAATGCATCTTTGCTGATTAAAACCTGGTAAATAATTTCTGTAGTGTATATTGCACAAATCTGGGGCTAAAATTACCTCTATAATGTGATGAATCCACTGTAGGATTTCAGCTCTGTTTAATGTTGGCAAGATGTGCACATTTTTGTTCTGAATGAAACGTAAACTCTGAGTTGAACCCCTTTCACTACAAAAGGATTATTTCACACAAGGATTCTTTGCTCACTCAATCAGACACTTTTAAACACCTAGACATACACACACACACACATATATATATATATATACACACACACACACACACACAAATATATAATCATTTACTTATGCAAAATCAGTTACAGAAACCAGACATGCAATCATGTCAGCAGATGAAATCATTTCTGACCAGATTCACTGTCACCCCCAGCATTCTGGGATACTGTGGATTATCCCTAATTTACATCACTACCAATGATTTACCAATGCTTCCCACATCCATCTCCCTCCACAACCATTCATTTTCATAAACCGACATCTGTCAATAGACCAGATGATGGTCATGGCAAACACTAGCAATACAGTTTATAAATAAGGTTAATAAAGTTAAAGAAAACCTCAATCACAAAAGCAACCCACCTGCTTATCTGACACATAAATAGGTTCTTTCAGCACAATCCATGTAACACTCTCATACAGTGGAGGAGTTGTGAGAGAGCCTGGGTATGTCCAGTACTCCAGACTGTTCGGCAGGAGGCACTTTGGGTTAAAGCCCTTAAAATCAGCAACACTTCCCTACAAGAGATAAAAATAATAATAAAAACTAGCATAAAATTATTGGACTGTAATGCAGAGCTTTGGGAAATAAAGATGCTCTGAACTGGGCTGTATCCACAATATACTGAAGAAGACACGTGCCACAATATTTTGATTAGTGGTTGACTAATAGGCCTATGTTTTTCTCAGTGGCCAATTCTCAATATATTACATTTAGTTTTCTACACTACCGGATATTTGGTTAGGGTCTTTGCATAAATTCAACTAAAATGTCAAACACGTAAGTATAATTGAAGAAAATGAATAAAATTAAATTATTTAATTCATTTAGAAATGCATAGATAAGGTTAAAAAAAATGCTGAATAACCAGATAATTCAGGAAAGTCAAATATTCTAAATACAAAACCACTAATCTGTGGTAGTGTCATAGACACTCTGACCAAAAAAAAACAAAAAACGTAGAGGTGCTCATTTGAATCCTTAGAACCTGATTAACATATTTCAAGATGAATATTTCCAAATGAAATCACATGCAAAGAGGCATCTGGGTGTTTCCAAATTCATTCAGATGCAAAAAAAGGGGACTAAAGTGCCGTATCCATTTGGCAAGCTACATGAAGACTTAAAGTATAAATAAATTTGTATCCTCCCAATTTTTCATAAATTAAACTACATAAATACACATACCTTGAATTTAACCATATACAAGGAATCTGTTATCTGATGAAGAGCACTGTGCTTATCACCTATCTGAAACAAAAAATAAAAAACATTATTAGAATAGGTATAATATGCATTTTACTGTAAATATTTATATCTTTCTGTACTTGATTTTTGTAATATTAAAAAGTGTTATTTTGTGGATCTGTTTATTTATTTATTTTTTCTTATCCCAAATTGAATAGTGACTGATTCTAATACAAAACCACATGCTCTTGAACTAATGCTACATTATTTTGTTATTTGTCTTAATAGGAATAGTTTGCCAAAAAATAAATAAATAAATGCTGAAAATGTACACATAATCAGGCCATCCAAGATGAGTTTGTGTGTTCATCTGTACAGATTGTGAGAAATTTTGCATTACATCACTAGCTCTGCAATGGAAAAACATCACAATAATCCACAATATGTTTCTTCTAAAATACATATTTTTTGCTTCACAAAACATTAATTGGACTGGAGTCATGTGGATTACTTGTGGATTATTGTGATGTTTTTATCAGCTGTTTGAACTCTCATTCTGACGGCACCCATTCACTTCAGAGTATCCATTGGTGAGCAAATGATGTAATGCTAAATTTCTCCAAATCTGTTCTGATGAAGAAACAATGCACATCTTGGATGGCCTGAGGGTGAGTAAATTTTCAGCAAATTTTCATTTTTGGGTTTGGTTCCCTTAAATGAGTGCTGATTCCCACTAACACTAACTTCCAGAAAGATGCCAAGGACAGCCAGGCCATCAGGTGCTGCTGCTGCCTCACCAAAGGACTTGTACTTAATGGCATTCCAATGAACCAGATGAAGCTGGAGAGAGACGAGAGACAGAGTTCAGGCCAAAAGACTGTGATAACGAAGACTGTGTAAACAAATATAATATACAGTATATAGGCTACACAGAGCAGACGGAGAGTCCCTGTTCTGCCCCCTCACCTCAGAAACGTAGGTTTTCCCACCAACCGTATGCTCAGAGCCACTGCAACCCTTGCATCCCCAGTGGAAGTGAAACTGTTTAAGCCTGTACATGTTTTCCAGAGGACCTCCCCGGATCACTGCCAAAAGGAAAGAGCAGTTTAAGGGGCCATTCACATCGAATGTGTTTTTGCATTTAAAAAAACAAAACAGGGCAGGAATGAAAAACAAGTGCAAGGTGTAGAGACACAAGCTTCTTTTAACTTGAGTGCCATGTTTTAGAATGCTGCGTCATGCGTGAGAAACTGCTAAACATCCGAGAAACAAGTGCAACAGTCAAACACATCTGTCTAGCATGTTTACACAGAAAAAACAATGGAAAAGCATGTGCAAAGGAATGCAAAAACACGTTCTGTGTGAATGCCCCCCTGACTTGCATGTACAGTAAAGTGAATATCGCCTTTTTTTTTTAAAGAATCACTCAAAGTGCAATGAAGAGTGAAGAAAAAGAGTATCTGAAATAGGTGCTTGGTGTTTTGCATACCTAATATGTCCACTATAGTTCAGTTCACTGAGTCAGAGCAGAAAGTTAAAAAAAACAAATCTGTCTTCCGACTGGAGCCATGAGTCTGTCTCCAGCCTCTCTTTACTATATATACACCTCTCATTTTCTTGCTTATTGCCTAGATCTCTTTCTCACAGACAGGGATGTTTTATAAGGGAAACTTTAAAAACTCAACAATTTCACAATGACAACTTAAGCATCCGTCTGCTTCCCAAACCTTTACAGTGGACCTGTTACACAAAATTCACTTTTATATTGTTTTTGAACATAATAATGTGTCCACAGTGTTTGTACACAACCACCCTACTGTGGTAGTAATCCATCCACTCTGTTTGTTATTTTTATCCATAAATCAGAAACAGTGTCTCGAAATGAGCCATTCAGGAATGTACTCCAAAGTGACGTCACATTGGAACAGGCCCCACTCACAACTGGCAACAGATCTGCCCTATTAGCTTAGCTCCCACCCTGAGTGAGCTGTACACGGTCCACCATGTTTATCTCATCGCCAGAGCATTTAACAGCAGCATTCAAGAAATGTGTTCTTATTGAAGCAACTAAAGTTATTCAGTCAAGAGCAGTGAGTGATTTTCTATTTTTTCTTTTGGTATATCATATCATATTAACAGCATAGACAGCAGTAGGTACTGTATATTATACTGCTGTCACTTGAATACACACATCTAATATACACATGCGATTTCTTTCCCAGCTGTTTATGTTCACAGACATAACCGACTGTGCTTATGCGAACTTTGTGTTTTTGACATAACCTTGTGTGTATTTGAGAGTGTAAGCAGAATACGATGTAAAGGTGAACTTAGTTTAGCACTCACGCGATGTGCCCTCTGACAGCCAGCTTTCTGTGAGCGTGCTTCTGGAGTGTGTGCTCAGAAAACCATATATCAGAAGTTTAAACTGATATGGTTTTAAAACGCATGCAAATAATAAACTTTCATGATGACGAAGAACTGCAATGTCAAATGAGAGTGACCGCGATAGATCTTTGATAATCAAAACCAAACAGATGTTTCATTTGTTGTTGCTTTGCCCGAGGCACGCGCTGTAAAGGCACAGCGCTGTTCTGGAAAGGGGGCGGGGAGAAGCAGCTCATTTGCATTAGCTCATTAAAGATACATGCACGAAAACAGCAAGTTTTTGCTTCCACACAAAAATGGCATTTACAGCTTGGAACAATACATTATCTGTGGGTATTTTGAGCTGAAACTTCACAGACACATTCTGGGGACACCTGAGACTTATATTACATCTTGTAAAAAGGGGCATAATAGATCCCCTTTAAGAGGGCTGAGAAACCACAAATTCTCTTCCCTTTTAACGACTGCAGAATTAACAGAGTTATTATTTTTTATGTGAGCAATTTCATTCAACAGTCATTACATTCCAGAGCTCAAGTGGTAAGGTGAGATGAGAACTGAACTGACAGGGTCATTTGTGCAGATAAAGCTGAATTTTTCAGTTCTTTCTTTTTTTGCTGTGGATCAGCTTCAGTTTTCATTTTCATTTTAGCAGTAATTTTAAGTTTTTAGTCATTTTAGTCTTTCAACTTAAACCTCAGTTTTCGTTTAAGGCTTTTTTAAAATCTAATTATTAAGTTTTTAATCTAATATTCATATTTATCTAAATTCAGCTTCAATTACCAAAAACTATTTTATACATTCAAATAATCTCACAGTGTTGGCGCACAACATGAGAGCTGAGAGTAAGATGCAGAAACTTGTTGTGAATAAAAACTTGAATATGAAAAAAGAAAAGAAAAAAAAAAAAAACAGAACTAAAAGTTGCCAGCTCAAAGTTGTGTTCTTCTCCAAATATCAGGAGACCAATCAACCAACCATGACAGTGACATTTTAAAGTGGTAATAATGTTGTCACCGATACCAACCTGATCTCTCATCTGAGTCAATGAACTCCACGACCACAGAATGGCCATTGTTTGATATGCTGACAGAGGTACAGTTGTTGTAAGACAGCGAGATAGGAGACAGTCTGGCATCAAATACAGCTTCTGCAGGGACTATATCAATAGGTGATTGGCGGTTACCCTCGGCAATGGGATAGTCTTTGTACCATTCTGATGGACCTAGAAAAACAATATTAACCAGCTAGACATTAATGAATGTAAATCTTTTTCCAAGTTAATTTTAAGGATACAGACATGTAACTTACTGTATTGTAATTTACTGTATCTAATGTAGTTATCTACATTACATTAGATATTGTGTGTGTGTGTGTGTGTGTGTGTTTGTGACATATGAGGACACAAATTTGTATAATGACATGGGTATGACATAGGTATTACAAGGAGAAGGTGACTTATGAGGACATTACCCCATGTCCCCATTTTTCAAAGCTCTTATAAATCATACAGAGTGAGTTTTTTTTGAGAAAGTAAAAATGCACAAAGTTTCCTGTAAGGGGTAGGTTTAGGGGTAGGGTTGGTGTAGGGCAACAGCACATACAGTTTGAACAGTATAAAAACCATTACGCCTATGGAGAGTCCCCACAATTCACAAAAACAAACATGTGTGTGTGTGTGTGTGTTTGTGTGTGTGTGTGTTTAGAGATTAAAAGTAGCTGGAAACTACGTTGAAATGGATGGCTTTTTCAGTTTTATGAAGTAGCTATTTTTTTATTTGTTAGATTTTAGACGTTCTGTCAGATAAATAATGTATTTAAGTGTTCGTAAGTTGCATTGTACCATTTTAAGCTGAATTAAAATATTTCATAACATATGCTGAGAATATAACTATGCCTTTAGAAAGGTAACACATGGCTGACCGTTTTACAGCCTAATTTAACATTACAAGTCTTATGTGAAGCTGAAAATCAAAACAAAAGATAAAGTGATCAAAATGCATGCTTACCCCTTGAAATGATGATGCCATTATAGCAATTTTTGGAATTATGGAATTTGTAACTAAGGAGGTAAATGTATAGTATGTGGACATAAATGTATAATAATGCATAACGTCAACTAAAAGTTAAAAAATAAATAGAGAAAATTATAAAGAAATTGCACACTTTTATTTCCATATATTTTGTTTTCATAAAAAAAATGCTTATTTACTAATACAGCAAGGAAGTTGAAAACAGCTTTTGGAGTAGGCCAAAACCAGGATTCTTCATGATGAAAGAAAAAAAAATGAAACAGTTTTTGGGGTGATGCATTTAGACATATTAACACAGTAAAGTCCAGTCTCAGCTAATCACTATTTAACAATTTTTATGTATTTGAGTTACACACACATTTTGTAGTGCGAGTATGACCCAACAACATTTCTATGTCTTCCAACGTTTGTCTCAATGAATTGTAGCAGGATGCAAGTCTTGAAATCACATAGGCCTACAGCCTGTATACGTTGTTTAAGCAGCAGCTATCCCTTTAAAAGATAACTGGGCTAATCTTGCATTAACAATGGACTTGGCAACCAAATATACATTAAATCTAATGACTGGACATATTAATGAATGATTGAGAACAAGCACACAAACTGACCCTTTGAAGGCTGGCTATAGATCTATTGAGTCTGTTTTAGTGTTTAGTGTTACGGTTTAACTGGTTTCTGTTATTCAAAATCGTCCATTAATAATATTAACTGTTAGTGATTATTGACGCTTGTTACTAATTTGGCTGCAACACTCATCAAACGGATCTTGATATTCAAATCAGGTTTCTTCATTTGGTGTGAAGTGATGCATTGCATGATATCTGAATGACATTTTCCTGTACTGGCTAATCCGTTCACACCAAAAACAGAAAACTAAAATGATTAGTGGCCACACCAACAGACAACAGGGAAAGTATGTTTATTCTAAGTGCGCTGCAGTTACACGTTCTGTTAACATAACCACAATACATGCTATAAAGTCTGTGTAAACTGGATGTTGCGACCAACTTTATGGTGAAATGAAATATTAGAAGAGAAAAAAAAATAGAGGGTATGGCTTGATTTTAGCACACATTCTCACCAGCTCTATAGCTCACAACAAACTGACTGTTGCAAAAGTCAACAGAGCCATAGGCCTGTATCAAAGCAGTGCCAGGCCAGCATTCTCAGACCAGAAGATAGGGTGGAGATTACATCATTATGGTTAGGTTTAGTACTGGTATAGTTGAGGTAAAGTTAGGGCAGTTGGGGCGGGTTATCCTATCTTCAGCTCCACCCTAACTTCTGGTCTCATATTGCTGGCCTGGCTCTGCTGTCCAAAAACCGTATGGCGCCATAGTCATCTGACAAACTGATGTCATCAGAGGAATACCATTCAAGAGGTGCCTTTTTTTCAGATTTTTGATTAAATATTTCTAAATATTATGAAGACAATCAAATCTTTTGGTGGATTAACTTGAAAGGATTAATTATTTACCACAACACTAGTAATGTGTAGCCTACTAACAATTAGGGTCTTTTTTTTTTTTTTTTTTTCTTTTATGCTAAGTCGGATTGATTTTT